TTTTTTTCACGCAAATACAGAACGTAGGATTTAGTCTTTGTCGGAAGTTTTATGTTGGTGCTGCTGTGAAATATCCTGATCCTTGTTACATACAAGCCAGCTAAACACAAAGTGACAGCAAGCATTTTGGCAGAACATTAAAATCTGATATTTATATACACTATATAAGCATTTTGATAACCAAATTTACTCACTGTCTGACACTAAATCCATCTCTGTTTCTTGTTTTAGCCCAGCAAGATTCTTTCTGTTCACTAAAAGTTAACGATCTTTAAGGTTCATTCATTTATGAATGTAGGGGCAACATTGGAAGTGTTGTGCCAAGTTCTGTTGATCAATATATACAGGAAAAAATAACAAAATGTGATAAATAAATATATGAACCCACTAGACAAGAAGTTGGAATGTGAACACACATTTAAAAACCAATACTGGGTAAATTTAACATGCAGTTTATATTGTAAATATAGTACAGCTTTGTGCCTTTCCAATTTTGACCGATAGTAATAACTGCTGTTGCACATGTTTAGTAATTTTGTTCCACCACCAGGTGGCTGTGGCAGAGAAGGAGCTTTTTAATAAAAACCATTTTCTGAGTGATGTTGCTGTCTGCTCTGCTGTGTCTCAGTTGTAAGAACATTGTCTATGTCTGAGCAGCGAGTGCTGACTTCTTATTGTTTGATCTTTCTTAAAATGCAGATGTCTTATCCAAAACGTAAACTTTGTTGCCACTCTACAACTAGGACCCGAAGCAGTATGACCCCCAAAATGTTAAATCTTTTCACAAAATATAGTATTTAAATGATCTGTTTTTTATGTCACCTTTTCCTTCAGAGACGTTTTAGGTCCTTTTGATCCATAAATTGTCTTTCTTTAGGTAATGTCCATCTCTTACCGGGTACAAATGCCAGGATTTTCATGAGGATTTTTTCCTGGGTTGATTGATTTGCACATTTCACACCAAAGCATGTTAATCTGTAGCACAGAGAACCACCTCCTTCTTGAACAGAGATGACTGGACGACCTCATGCTGGTGATACTTACAATGAATAGTTTGAATGAATGAATTTGGCTTCTTCAAGTATCTAGCTTGTATCCAAATGC